CTGAGAGTATTTCCTATTGTTGAATAGAAGCTTCGTGTTGGTTGACAAATTCAGTAAAACTGTAGGAACTTTTATCAAATAAATCTTATCTTTTATTTTGTTTTGAAACTTAGGGAACAGTAGCTAAATTTAATAAATTTAGATCATTATTTCAAGGCGAATAAAATAGATTGATAAGGAGCTTACCTTTGCAAAGCCTGGACTTTTAAGGTTATAGGTACGCTGCGCTGTTGTGAAGTGAAAAATTTATAGCAATATAACCAGCTGATCAAACCGACAACAGCATGCAAACTAATTTTACTTCCTTGGTATATATTTTACTGGCGCATTATAAGGGATCATTATGATAATTAAATTTGATGACAGTGTTAAAAATAGGGTGGGGGTATATAATATATTCATATATTATATTCGTCTACTGATTTTCTTTGGCAGTCATTGTGTTTATACTTTGGCAGTCATTATTTAAAACGCACTAACCTTTTAAACCTAAGCTTTGTGCATCTTTACTCCCAAACGAAAAATCTTTCCAACTTGCACTTTTCACTTGCAAAAAAATAATAATTTTCTAAATTTACATTACAATAAAAATATCGTTTTAATTATATTAGTGATTTTAAACTTGTTATTTAACAAAATATTAACGCAAATTGCGTGAAGCAATGTTTTGAAAAATTGCGTGAAGCAATGTTTTTAACTGCTATAAATATAAAAAGAAAGACACCTGAATGGCTGTATTGAATTCAATATTATCTAGCTTTCACTTTTTTATTTCACAAGGAAATAGAATCTTTCAGCCATCATAACTTACTCAGTCACATTAGATTTTATATAACTCTACTTTTCTGAATTCGGCAAACTTTTGTCTATAAACAATTTAACATATAAAAATTTGAATATAATTTTCTTCATTTCTGCTCTTATTTGAGCAAAAGATTGACTTAATGTGCCGTCAAGTTTGCTTTTTTTTAAAAAACGCCTCTATAAAGACTGTACTTACTGTAGTATCTACAACTATAAAAGATTTGACGAATGGAGATTTCAAATTTGCCACGAAAGGATGCCTTTAACTGCGGCACCCCGAAAACTGCGGCGCCACATTTACCAGTCCAACAGAAACGGCTACTCGAACAAGAATATTTTAGTGAGATTGTTTTACCTAAAACGACATTAAAAAATCGTCTTAGCAACGGCCAGCTATATAAAAGAGGTGATTTTATTGCCCTGTATGGGTGTGGTGTTGCTTTGCTTGGCTACCTTCATCATCAACACACAAAGGCTCGATTAACACTTCCTGAATGCCTACAAAACAACTGCAGGTTTAACATAAAAAACAATCATTACTATAGATTTCTTCAATACCTTGGCTCTCAAGTTTACGTTAAAATATTCAAAGGGAAATTCCTACTCACCTTGGCTTTAATACTCAATCGATAAAAAAACAGTGGTAAGTAAAATACGCTTCGAAGCAAACACGTCACCAAAAAAACTCAAGATGGAAGATGTAGACACCAATCTTCCAAAAGGAAAATTTTTCGAATCCGAACTAACTAACCAGCTTCGTAGTAATGATTTTTGTTATCATTTTAAGTATAGATGTAATTAATTATTTTTAGCAAATAAGAAACTACTATTTTCGCTTGAATTTCCAAATGATTTTTGGAAAAAAAGCGATTAACAACCGATTGATTCATAACCAGATCTATGAGATTTTTTGTGTGAGATATGTATAATGATATACATATATATTAAATACGTTTTTTTCAAAAATACTACAACCTTCCATTATCACAGAAATAAGGAAGCCCATTTTTACCTGTACAATTTTTCCCATTTCCTTTATATCCACTTTTGCATTTACAAAAGTATGAACCATCCGTATTTGTGCAATTAGCATCCACACTGCACGGGCTCCCTGCACATTCGTTCTTATCTGCAAACATAAACAATAATGAGACAAAAGAGCATCGCTTAGTTTTTGTGTTTGTTTGTTTGTTTTTTATTTATTACTGATGAAAGCAAGATCTGTTGCAACATTTTAATCACAATAAAATGGTTATGTGGAATATGTGAAAAAAATAAAAAATACCCATGGAGTTTACCTGTACAATTCTCCCGGCCGGCCTTTTCATATCCAGTGTGACATGAACAATAGTATGAACCATCAGTATTTTTGCAACTTGAATGTGAACCACAAGGAGAATGCGCGCATTCATCCACATCTGTAACAAATATATATAAATACCAAAAATGTGTTAGATATACGCAGACATATACATTCGCTTTGTAAATGTGCCAATTCTTCCAAAGTAATGAAAATACTCGCGAAATCAATCTCCAAGCGATTACAATGAGATCAGTTCTTGTAAACTTACCAGTGCATGTAAATCCATCTCCAGTATATCCAGAATCACAAGTACACATGTAAGACCCGTCTGTGTTGTTGCACGAAGCATTGGAATGACATGGGGAAGATGTCTGGCATTCATTGACATCTTGAATCAAAATTAAAACAATTTACCCGACTTTTAAATTAGGCTATGCTTTCTACAGATATTAAAACCAAAGTTATTCAAACAAGTTTACCAGTGCATTTGAATCCATCTCCAGTATATCCAGAATCACATGCGCAGATGTAAGATCCATCTGTGTTGCTGCACGTGGCATTGAAATGACATGTGTATTCGGTTAGGCATTCGTTTACATCTAAAATGGTAACACAATCAAGATTGCAACTCTTCGATATTATTTTTTCGTTTGTTTTGGGAGTCATTTGTATAGTCATACCAGTGCACAATACTCCGTCTCCACTACATCCTACGCCTTTTTGTAGAAAAGGTTATATCAATAAAAATCATGTTTTTCTAGGGTGTGACGAATCTTATAATTACATGTTAACCTGTTTGGAGTTTGTTCAGATTTAAAATAATCGTTTGGTAATTTTATTTATTTAATATTGCTTCGACGAAGCTTGTCAACTAACAATAAATTTCAACTAACAATAAATTTCAAAAAATTATTTAATAATTTATGTAATATCAGCCTACACTAATGCATGTTTCAAAAATCCGCTATTATTTACCAATTTAAGCAAACCCAATTTTAAGTATACTGTATTTTAATTTGTACGTGCTTCGGCGAATATATAATCCGTTCGTGTTGAAAAGATACAGCAAATCCGTTTTGTTTTCGATTATATCGGAAATGATTTCTTTTATACATTTTCAAGTGTGCTTCGCAAAACCCTAAAATATTTTCGTTGCCCTACCTGTGCAGTTAAATCCATCTCCAGTATATCCAGAATTACATGTGCAGATATAAGATCCATCTGTGTTATTGCACGTGGCGTTAGAATGACAAGGGAAATCTCTTTGGCATTCATTTGTATCTAGAAATTCAGTTTGAATGAATTTTAATCGCTTTCTTCAAGGTTTTTACGCAATTAAAATCTAAATGCATATGTCTCAAATTACTCGATCTCCGCTAGACTGACCCAGAATCATACGGATGTACAGACGACGTCTTCCTGCGTTAATCGTTATTCCATATATTATTGGAATAACATGCATGATATTTTCCGCATTTAGGCTACTTTTTATCTAAAACGACGCTACTGAAAACCCAAGTAATTCAGTCGCCTTACCAGAGCAGGTTAACCCATCTCCAGTATATCCAGAATCACATGTGCAAGTATAAGACCCATCGGTGTTATTGCAAATAGCATTGGAATGACATGGAGGAGATGTTAGGCATTCATCCACATCTGAAATATTTTTATACTTAATTTTTCTTAATAATTTATAAATTGTCCTTGATGTTAAATCCATATACAACTGTATTTATAATCTTACCAGTGCAGTTGGTGAAACCATCTCCCGTATATCCAGAGAAACATTCACAGTTATAAGATCCAAATGTGTTAATGCATGTAGCATTTGGATGACATTGAAGATCTTTTTGGCATTCGTTTACATCTAAAATAATGGGTTTGGACGTGATTTGTCAGTCAAATCAGAATATCCGTACACATGCAGATATCATATAAGTACCATAAATCGAGGAAAAAGTGTGTACATGGAAAAAATTGTCCCCACCTCTAGCATTACCTCTATTACTAAAGGTGGTGTCCCTACCAGCTAAGGCGAGTTTAAAACTTTCCATATAAACACTAGTACTTGCGTCTCTTGCGGCTGCTAGAATATTGACATGAAGTCTCTTCCATCACGGTAAATCGAACGGTAAAGTGTCCCTGGGACTCCAGCACATGCATGTAAACCGCCATTATAAAGAGCAAAATTATTGATCGCTGGGATGAAGAACTTGTTGTATTGCTTGGCAAAAGCCCGCTTGACTAAAGGTAACCCCAAATCCAGTTAGCAATTTTTGCCGTCGAAATAGACGACATCAAATCACCAAACATTAAAAATTCGTAGATTTAAAACTAACTTCGGAAAATTATGCGACATTAAGCCTTGACTTCAGGTAAATACAAAGGCATAATCAATACAACACGAATTAACGTATACAAAGATATGTTTCTAACACGCTGCAGTCTGCCGTGAAATATATAGTTGTGCCGTGGAATATAAAAATTATTCTGCCCATGCATGTAGTATTAAAATGTAAGTGCAAGGATTTTTTCGTAAAAATAATATCGAAATAACATCACTCGACATATTCGTAATTTTTACACTCGTCGCTTTGCAAATGTGGCAATTCTTCGAAAAAAATGAAAATACTCACGAAATCAATCTCCAAGCGATTACAATGAGCTTAGTTCTTGTAAACTTACCAGGGCATGTAAATCCATCCCCACTATATCCAGAATCGCAAGTACACATGTAAGACCCGTATGTGTTGTTGCACGAAGCATTGGCATCACATGTGGAAGATGTCTGGCATTCGTTGACATCTTGGAAGAAAATTATAACAATTTACCCGACTTTTAGGCTGTGCTTAATTCATACAGATATTAAAACCAATTATCCACACAAGTTTACCAGTGCAGTTGAATCCATCTCCAGTATATCCAGAATCACATGTGCAGATATAAGATCCATCTGTGTTATTGCACGTAGCATTGGAATGACATGTGTATTCGGTTAGACATTCGTTTACATCTAAAAACACAATTAAAGATTGCTTTCTTTGAATCTCTTCGATATTTTTCATTGTTTTGGGAGTCTAATTCATTTGTATAGTCATACGAGTGCACAAAAATCCTCCTCCACTACATCCTAGGGCCGTTTGTAGAAAAGATTATCATGTTTTAAAAGAAAATCATGTAAAAAGAAAATCATGTTTTTCTAGGTTGTGACGAATCTTTATTATAATAGCATAACGCCTGTTTTATAATTACATGTTAACCTGTTTGCAATTTGTTCAGATTTAAAATAATCGTTTGGTAATTATAAAAAGATATTTACTTAATATTGCTTCGACGAAGCTTGTGAACTAACAATAAATTTCCGGCCATCAAAATTAATTTAAGTTGAATAATTTTGAAAATATTCCTACCTGTGCAATTAAATCCATCTCCACTATATCCGAAATTACATGTGCAAATGTATGATCCTTCTGTGTTGTTGCAAGATGCATTTGAATCACAAAGGGAATCTCTTTGGCATTCGTCGTCATCTAAAATTCATGTTACGCTATATTTAGCAAATATTTCACTTACAAAAAATTTATGTATGTATAGCTACATATTCTTACCAATGCAGTCAAATCCATCTCCTATATATCCAGAATCACATATGCATATGTAAGATCCATCTGTGTTATTGCACGTAGCATTGGAATGACATGGGGGAGATGTTACGCATTCGTCAACATCTAAAATTAAGGATTACCAATTTTTTTTCAATGAGGTAAGACCCGTCAGTGCTATTGCTGGTCCCAGTGATATAGAAAAAGTCAAATTATTTAATAATTTATGTAATATCAGCCTACACTGATGCCTGTTTCAAAAATCCGCTATTATTTACCAATGCGAGCTAACCCAATTTTTAGTATATTTTAATTTGCATGTGCTTCGGCGAATATATTATCCGTTCATGTTGAAAAGATACAGAAAATCTTTTTTGTTTTCTATTATAGTGGAAGTGATATTTTTTATACATTTTTAAAGGTGCTTCGCAAAACCCTAAAATATTTACGTTGCCCTACCTGTGCAGTTAAATCCATCTCCAGTATATCCAGAATCACATGTGCAGATATACGATCCGTCTGTGTTATTGCACGTGGCGTTAGAATGACAAGGAAAATCTATTTTGCATTCATTTGCATCTAGAATTTCAGTTTGAATCAATATTTATCGCTTTCTTCAAGGTTTTTACGCAATTAAAATCTAAAAGCATATATCTCATATTACTCGAACTCCGCCGAGATCTTTCTGCGTTGTTCCATGTATCATTGGAATAACATGGAGGATCTTTTCCGCATTTACTTTTTATCTAAAACGACGCTACTGAAAACCCAAGTAATTCAGTTGCCTTACCAGAGCAAGTTAATCCATCTCCAGTATATCCAGAATCACATGTGCAAATGTAAGATCCATCTGTGTTGTTGCACGTAGCATTGGAATGACATGGTGAATCAGTTTCGCATTCATTTACATCTGAAACAAAATTATAATTTTTCTCATCATTTATTTCAAATGTGCTAGTCAATGCTTTATCTGGCTAATCGAATAACATAAGCACATGATTGGCTTTTCTTCTCATGGCGAATATCCGCCATTTTTGGAGTGCTTTCAATTCACCACTTGCACCGTGGGTGCCACGTGTACTTGGCACGTGATCAAAAATGTAAACAATCGCAAAAGTTCGGACTACGGGTCACGCAAACTCTCACGCGATAGTATAGAAAACATTAGTACATTGCACGCAAAAGTTCGGACTACGGGTTGCAACTAAAAGATGCGCTTAGGGAACATGTAAAAATGATTCAAGATACCCGCACCTGCATAAGAGAAATAAAAACAATGACCCAATTAAATTTTATCATTTTCCTTGTATTGTACGATCGGCAGAGAGGAGAAGAAAATGGATAATCGCGTGTCACCGAGGTGATAATTTCGTTTGCACGAAAGACAGCTACATTTGTAGTTTACATTTTATCGGTACCAATGGACCAACGAAGGAAAACCCAGATCCTGTGTCCGCCGTCTCGAGCAATGAAAAGGTAATAATATGCATTAATTAAATTATTAAGTAATGATTTTCGACATGCATTAATGAACGCATCCCAACTAAAAATCGTGTTTTTGTTAAGGCTAAACGATTTGAAAGGAAACGACGTAGCCCTACCAAGAGAAAACAACGCGCTTTTGAGAACGAGGTTGCTGAGGCACTTCTTAATTTGTCGTCGAGCACAGCGAGATCTTCGGAAGAATTATCTCTTGCCGAAAGTTTATTAAATTTGAGCGTGGAAAAAGTCGACGCGATTGATGCAAATGAAGACACTATTAATAGTGAACTTAATGAACTTAATGACAAACAAAGAACAAATAACAAAGAACTTAATGCATTTAACTCGGGTTGTTCTCCGCCGAAAAGTACAGTGAAACATAACAGTACATGTACACAGGTTTGTTGTACACTGCGTACATGCAATTTGTCACAAAGGTGTACTAAAAAATACACGTATTAATTTCTCAGCACTCAGCTGGATTTCATTTTACATGGATTACAATTTATGTCAAAGTGACTCAATACTCGCACATATTTTTGTTATGTAGACTGATATTGATTTGACCGACATTTCGCTGTACAAAGACTCTGAACTGAAAAATATTAAGCGGTTACGAAGGCAGTTGTTTATGGCGTTGGTAGATGATCCAAAAAATACTTTCCACTACACAGGTATGTTCGTATATATAATCCTTTGAATAAATAATTATATACATTGCATTACATTATACTTCTATACTATCGCGTGAGAGTTTTCGTGACCCGTAGTCCGAACTTTTGCGATTGTTTACATTTTTGATCACGTGCCAAGTACACGTGGCGCCCACGGTGCAAGTGGTGAATTTCCATACGATTTCAATAATAATAGTATAACAAAATCGAACATTACATTAAACAATATTAATATAATCTACAGTATATCAACATTAAACAATTTCAAACGGAACATTAAAAACAATATTAATATAATCTACAGTATATCAACATTAAACAATTTCAAACTGAACATTAAAAACACTCGCCAGCGTCGTAGGGACCATTAAGTGTGTTGAAAAGCATGGGGCTAAATTACAACTTGACAACCACCCTCCGCGAATATGCCTGGATTTTTTATCCCTTTAAAACAATATGTAAAAATGAAAGTGTAGAAAGGCTGTAAATTTTTTTTGGCATTACACAATTCACACAATTAACATTAAAATTTAACAATTTTACAGTGGGCATAATAGCTAGTGGCAATTTTGAGACCATGTATCACATCATAAATCTATGAGAAAGTATTCCTTCCGTCTCTTTGTGATAACGAAACAGTACAATTGAAATTTGCTTTGAAAAAGAAAATTTCAGTCACGTGTGGTAAGAATCATGAAATAGAAATAAGCAATATTGACGGCTAACCTTGGCAGTCTGTTCCATTTCCTGAGTAGCCTTGTTTGCATGTACAATTAAAATACCCATCAGTATTGTTGCAGTAGGCATTTTGATGGCAATTGTGAGTTCCTATAATGCATTCGTTGACATCTAAAAATGACATTAATAAAGTATATGAAAATATATGATATTTGATATATATAAAAATATTTGATATTTTGATTATGATTAAAAATTAAAATTACCCAAATGTTGTAAATTAACACCACAATGGCGATGATAAAAGCATGAGTTTCCTATCTGTCCAAAATTTCAACAACAAAGGATTTCATATATATCTCCTGATAAATATTAGGCATCTATCGTTAGAGAAACTCGTTGTGTATTAATTTACGCCTAACCTTGGCAGTCTCTCCCATTTCCAAAGTAACCATTTTTGCATGTACAATTGAAAGAACCGTCATTATTGTTACAAAATGCATTGAAATTGCAATTATGAGAACCTGCACTACATTCGTTGACATCTGAAAGAAATAATTAATGAAAAAGTGTAGTAACGTTTTGGCATTACACAATTCACATTTCCTTCGCAATTTTGATTTTTGCCAGGAAAGAAATCTCCGAGTTCTTACAGTAGGCATAATAGTGGCAATTGTGAGACCATGCATAACATTATAAATCTATGAGAAAGTATTCCTTCCGTCTCTTTGTGATAACTAAACAATTCAATTGAAATTTCCCTTGAAAATGAAAATTTCAGCACGTGGGGTCAGAATCATGAAATAGATATACGCAATATTGATGGCTGACCGTGGCAATTTGTTCCATTTCCTGAATAGCCTTGTTTGCATGTACAATAATAAAAGCCTTCAGTATTGATACAGTAGGCATTGCGATGACAATTATGAGTTCGTGTATTACATTCGTCGACATCTGAAACGACAATTAAACAGCAGTAATGAATTATTCTGCCATTGTGACTTTACATTCCATTAAAAAAATATTTTAAATTAACACCTTACGCTACAAACATCGCTTTCCTATCTAACTCAAAATTTCAGAAACAAAAGATTGAAAGTGAATTTCTTTCAAAATTCCTGCCGTTCAAAGACGGAGATATAAATTATTATATATGATATATGAATAATATGATTTAAGCTTAACCTTCACAGTATGTTCCATTTCCCAAGTAGCCTTTTTTACATGTACAATTGAAAGAGCCGTCAGTATTGTTGCAATAGCCATTGTAATGGCAATTATGAGAACCTGCACGACATTCGTCGATATCTGAAAGAATAAAAAAACGAGGGTTTAAATGATAATTTGTTAAAGTTTGATTTTGTGATATTTCCATTCAAAGAATCTCAAAATTCTTACAGTAGGCATTATGGTATAGCAATAGACCTTTCTTATAATGAAGGCAAACGCATAAATTCTGGTGTTACACGAAATTTGACTGGCTCCACAAGACAAATATCATACGTGTAACATCAGACGTTTCGCGTTTGACGTCATTATGATAAAGGTCTATTGTTAGACCATGTTTTAGATGTTTAAATCTGTATAAGAACGTACAGAAAATATTCTGCCTTTCCAATGCAAATTTTCTTTTCATTCTTAGGTCGTGCATGAGAAGTTTAAATCATACAATAGGGTATACAACATGAACGGCTAACCTCGGCAGTCTGTTCCATTTCCAGAATAGCCTTTTTTGCAGGTACAAATGAAAAACCCATCAGTATTGTTACAGTAGGCATTGTAATGACAATTGTGAGTCGTTGTATTACATTCGTTGACATCTAAAAAGGGCAATAATAAAGTGTGAAATATTTGATATTTTGATTTTGATAAAAAACTAACATTACACAAATGTTGTAAATTAACACCACATTAGCGATGACCAAGGCATCGGTTTCTTCTCTCAAAATTTCAACAACAAAAGAAAGCGATTCATATTTCCTGAAAATATATACGCTATGCCAGGTTAGAGAAATTCATTGTGTAATATTTAAGCCTAACCGTGACAGTCTGTTCCATTTCCAAGTAGCCATTTTTACATGTACAATTGAAAGAACCATCAGTATTGTTACAAAAGCATTGTAATTGCAATTATGAGATTCGGCACGGCAATCGTCGATATCTAAGAAAAATGAAAACACAATGTTATAAAAAATCACGTTTTATTTATAAAATTTCCTTCGCAATTCCGATTTTTTGCAAGTGCCAAGGAAAAGACCTCAAGATTCTTGCATCATAGTGGCATTAGTTAAACTATGTATTACATTCGCAAAAATCTAAGAAAAAATATAAAATATTTTGTCTTTGGTAACATAACAGTGCAATTTCTTTGAAATTTTGAGCCATCATGAGAATTCACAATCGTGAAATTGAAATATACAAAATCCACAGCTGACCTTGGCAGTCTGTTCCATTTCCTGAGTAGCCTTTTCTGCATGTACAATTGAAATACCCATCAGTATTGTTACAGTAGGCATTGTGATGGCAATTGTGAGTCCTTGTGTTACATTCGTTGACATCTGAAAAAAGGCAATTAAACAAAAGGTATAAAATATTCTGTCATTGCAACTCGACCTCCCATTTCGCAAATATTTTAAATTAACGCCCTATTTGCAAATTTAGACTACTAAAACATCGGTTTCCTCACTCTCACAAAAGAATGAAACCAAAACTTTCGGCAAATCAATGTTAGCTGTTGAAAATTAGAGCGACCGATTTTTTTATTTCTAACCTTGGCAGTCTGTTCCATTTCCCCAGTAGCCGTTTTTACATGTACAATTGAAAGAACCGTCTGTATTGCTACAGTAGCCATTGTAATGGCAATTATGAGAACCTTCACTACATTCGTCGATATCTGAAAGAAATAATTAACGACAATAGGGAGTTTTAGTTTGACGTTTACGGCAAACCGCAAACCGCGGTTTCACGTTAGCGGTTTCACGTTGCCGTTGTCACGAATTTGACTTTTAGTTCGCGGTCATTTACCTACACCTTATGTTCGAACGATTCAACATTGGCATTCAGTAAACAGTTTCGCTGTTAAATTGCTTTTAGCTATTTCTAATGCTTCGGTTTTTTTAAATCAAATGTTATTTATACACCTGGGTTGAAAGGAACCTCAATTTTAATAAGCGACTATCGAAATACGATATCATGGTAAACCGCCATATTGCCAGTCGTGTTATTGAATAGTGGTAGTCGCTTTCTTAATTAAAGAAAACTGGTAAACTTATTGAAAACAGGCTGGAAAATTAACACAAAGAAAATTTCGATATCCAATATGTCTACTAGAAGTGTTTAAACGTGAAACGAGACACTATTGCAATGACAATTCGCTGAGGTAAATGAGCTACGTGAAAACAGTCGCGGATCTAGGGGTGTGCAGAATAAATTACACAGCTTCATTTTAAATTCAAAACACCTTAATAATAACGCTATTGGCTATAGATTTGAAAAGAATATTTTTACATTAAAACCTACTAATGCAATTGCGATTTTAAGCTGTAGTAATTTATTCTGCACACCCCTAGATCCGCCACTGCGTGAAAATACACCTCAGGCGGTTGAAAACGTGAACCGCAAACGTCAAACGGCAAAATTTTAACGTCAAGCCGCGGTTTGCGGTTCGCGGTTGAAGAGAAAACGTCAAACTAAAACTCTCTAATGTGAAATATATTCCTTTCTTCAAGGTTTTTGCGCAGTTAAAATCTAAAGGCAAATGTCTCAAATTACTCGATCTCCGCTAGATCCGGAATCATACGCTTGTACAGACGACCGAGGTCTTTCTGCGTTATTCCATGTATCATTGGAGTAACATGGAGGGACTTTTCCGCATTTACTTTTTATCTAAAACGACGCTACTGAAAACCCAAGTAATTCAGTTGCCTTACCAGAGCAGGTTAATCCATTTCCACTATATCCAGAGTCACACGTGCAAATGTAAGATCCATCTGTGTTGTTGCATGTCGCATTCGAGTGACATGGTGAATCAGTTTCACATTCATTGACATCTGAAACAAAATTATAATGTTTTTCATCATGTATTTCAAATGTGCTAGTCAATGATTTATCTGGCTAATCGAATTACATGAGCACATGATTGGCTTTCCTTCTCATGGCGAATATCCGTCATTTTTGGGGTGCTTTCAATTTCCATACGATTTCAATAAACAATATTAATATAAACTACAGTATATCAAAATTAAACAATTTCAAACTGAACATTAAAAACACTCGTCAGCGCCGTAGGGACCGTTTAGCGTGTGGAAAAGCATGGGGCTAAATTACAAATTGACAACCACCCCCCGCGAATATGCCTGGATTTTTTATCCGTTTAAAACAATGTGTAAAAAAAAAGTGTAGAAAGGGTGCAAATTTTTTAGCATTACACAATTCACACAATTAACATTAATTTTACAGTAGGTATAATAGCTAGTGGCAATTGTGAGACCATGTATCGCATTATAAATCTATGAGAAAGTATTCCTTCCGTCTCTTTGTGATAACTAAACAATACAATTGAAATTTGCTTTGAAGAAGAAAATTTCAGTCACGTGTGGTAAGAATCATGAAATAGAAATAGGCATTATTGACGGCTAACCTTTACAGTGTGTTCCATTTCCTGAGTAGCCTTGTTTGCATGTACAATTAAAATACCCGTCAGTATTGTCGCAGTAAGCATTTTGATGGCAATTGTGAGTTCCTATAATGCATTCGTTGACATCTAAAAATGATAGTAATAAAGTGTAAAAATATTTTATATTTTTATTATGATTAAAAATTAACATGACACAAATGTTGTAAATTAACACCACAAGGGCGATGACAAAAGCATGTGTTTCCTATCTGTCCAAAATTTCAACAACAAAAGATTAGGTATCTCTGGTTAGAGAAACTCGTTGTGTATTAATTTACGCCTAACCTTGGCAGACTCTCCCATTTCCAAAGTAACCATCTTTGCATGTACAATTGAAAGAACCGTCATTATTGTTACAAAACGCATTGAAATTGCAATTATGAGAACCTGCACTACATTCGTTGACATCTGAAAGAAATAATTAATGAAAAAGTGTAATAATGATTTAGCATTACACAATTCACATTTCCTTCGCAAATCTGATTTTTGCCAGGAAAGAAATCTCCGAGTTCTTACAGTAGGCATAATAGTGGCAAATTGTGACCATGCATTACATTATAAATCTATGAGAAAGTTCTCCTTCCGTCTCTTTGTGATAACTAAACAATACAATTAAAATTTCCTTTGAAAATGAAAATATCAGTCACGTGGAGTCAGAATCGTTAAATATAGATATACGCAATATTGATGGCTGACCTTGGCAATTTGTTCCATTTCCTGAATAGCCTTGTTTGCATGTACAATTAAAAAAGCCTTCAGTATTGTTACAGTAGGCATTGCGATGACAATTATGAGTTCTTGTATTACATTCGTCGACATCTGAAACGACAATTTAACAGCAGTAATGAATTATTCTGCTATTGTGACTTTATTATATTCCATTTCGAAAAATATTTTAAATTAACACCTTACGTTGCAAATTTACAACTAAAAGATCGCTTTCCTATCTAACTCAAAATTTCAAAAACAAAAGATTGAAAGTGAATTTCTTTCAAACTTCTTGATCAAAGATATATTATATATCATATATTATTTAAGCTTAACCTTCACAGAATGTTCCATTTCCCAAGTAGCCTTTTTTACATGTACAATTGAAAGAGCCGTCAGTATTGTTGCAATAGCCATTGTAATGGCAATTATGAGAACCTGCACCACACTCGTCGATATCTGAAAGAATAAAAAAACGAAGGTTTAAAAGATAATTTGCTAAAGTTTGTGCAATTGCCATTCAAAGAATTTCTTTCAAATATTGAGCCATCATGAGAATTCACAATTGTTAAATTGAACCTTGGCAGTCTGTTCCATTTCCTGAGTAGCCTTTTCTGCATGTACAATTGAAATACCCATCAGTATTGTTACAGCAGGCATTGTGATGGCAATTGTGAGTCCTTGTGTTACATTCGTTTACATCTGAAAAAAGGCAATTTAAAATATTCTGTCATTGCAACTCGACCTCCTATTTCGCAAATATTTTAAATTAACACCTTATTTGCATATTTTCAAATATTAAATATTAAATATTAAATATTAAATATTTTTAAATATTTAGTTAAAACTACTAAAACATCGGTCTCCTATCTCACTCAAAGTTTCAAAAACAAGAGAATGAAACCTAATTTTCGGCAAATCAATGTTAGCTGCTGAAAATTAGAGCGACCGATTATTTTTATTTCTAACCTTGGCAGTCTGTTCCATTTCCCCAGTAGCCGTATTTACACGAACAATTGAAAGAACCATCAGTATTATTGCAGTAGCCATTGTAATGGCAATTATGAGAACCTTCACTACATTCGTCGATATCTTAAAGAAATAATTGACGAGAATGTGAAATATATTCCGTTAATATTGTATTAATCTTTTTTCGGAAATTTTATTAATTTTGTTCCAATGCTGTTGAAAGAATCTTAGAGTTCTTACAGTAGGCATTACAGTATAGTTGCAGTCAATCGTGAGATCATAAATTATATTACATTCGTACAAAACGATTATATTAGAAGGTGGTATTGAAAAAATTCTGACTTTGAGTAGGAAACACTGGCATTCAAATTACTTATCTTGCCATTTTAAGGATAAGAAATTACAATCATAAGACCAAAATATACAATATTAAGGGCAAACCTTTGCAGTATGTTCCATTTCCCGAGTAGCCTTTTCTGCATGTACAATTGAAAGAACCGTCAGTATTGTTACAGTAGGCATTGTGATGGCAATTGTGAGTCCTTGTATTACATTCGTTGACATCTGAAAAGGGCAATTAAACAAAATATATAATAATTGAATTTAACACCGTATGATGCAAATTCAGCTAAACACCTAAAACATCGGTTTTTTATCTGCTACAAATTTCAACAACAAAATAATTAAATAAATGAAACCATATTTCCTCCTAAATGTCAGCCGTTGAAGATTTGAGCCGTTGATGCTACTGATTATTTGTATTACTGATCCTAACCTTGGCAATCTGTTCCATTTCCCCAGTAGCCGTTTTTACATGTACAGTTGAAAGAACCATCAGTATTGTTGCAATAGCCATTGTAATGGCAATTATGAGAACCTGTACTACATTCGTTGATATCTGAAAGAAATAATAAACGAGAATTTAAAAAATATTTCGTTGGTAATATTATTTTAATATTTCTTTTGAAATTCTAATTTTGTTTAAGCGCTTTCGAAAGCGTTCTTACAGTAGGCATTCAACATTGCCAATTCTGAGATCATGCATGTATTACATTCGCAAAAATTTATAAGAAAGAATTGAAGATATTTTTCCTTTGACAACGAATCACTTCAATTCAAATTTTCCTTAGCTTGCAATTTTGAGCAATAAGAAATTACTAGAATCATAAGGTAGAAATGTGCAATATTAATGACTGACCTTGGCAGTCTGTTCCGTTTCCTGAGTAGCCCCTTTTGCATGTACAATTAAAATACCCGTCAGTATTGTTGCAGTAGGCATTGTGATGGCAATTGTGAGTCCTTGTATTACATTCGTTGACATCTGAAAAAGAGAAATAAAAAATGGTATAAAAGGTCTCAAAACATCAACAACAAAATATTTTCAAGTCATATTTACTTCAAAACATTTGCCGTTCAAAGTTAGAGCTATTAATTATTTATAACATAAGCCTACTGATGTTTGTTGCGGATCAAGGTATTGGCTGAGGTTTAATGTCATTTAATTTCAAAATACGTTAATAGCAATGCTATTGATTTAAAATTTTTAAAGAATATTTTTACTTAAATTTTTTTCAATGTGATTGCAAGTTAGAACTGTAATTTATTCAGCCCTACCCTGGATCCGCCACAGCATTTAAGTGATTTACGGATATTGTGCGGAAATTTTGTTCAAGATAATTATTATTGTCTGTATTGTTTTCTGGAGTCACTTTAAAAAATATTGTCTTTCTCATCACTCATCAAGCAGTTCAACAATAAGAACACAATCGGTTTGCCATATATAGCAAAGAATTCGTACGCGTTTTTTTCTTCTCTTTGGGTGGAACACGTTTTCTGGGAAGTTAGGACCAATTAGAACAGATTATCTTCTTTCATTCTACGTTTGAAAACGACATTTCACAGATGAGGCCATTTACTGAACTTTTTTTGCATTGTTTATTGTTTATAAACATTGTTTATTCAGAACATTATTTTAATTTTCGCTGACGTGTACTCAATCGCTTGTTTTTCCTTTTGATTTTATGCATGTTCCCCCTCACGTCAGTTCCACGGAATTTCTTCAATCAAGTGTTTGCCAAACAACGCCTTGTAGTTCACCACTAACGACGGACAAATTTTGCGAGAGCACTACTTCGTTTACCTTCATTCGTAGCCAAATCCGATGATAGCGAATTGTATGTCGTTTTACCATGTTCGAGAAAGGGCGCGAACCGAACTCATTCAAACACACTTGCATTACCAATGATCTACTGTACTTCTTTACCATTTACATCACTTCACAATTCTTTTAAAACTTTAATGTGCGGGACTTCGCTAACTAGTCGGTTTTTCTGTCCTTTCATGCAATTTACACTTAGGGGCTGTTCACATGAGCCCGGTTACCGCGCGAGATTTAACGAAACATAAAAATTAATGGACTTTGAGGTATTGAAATGAGTAAATAACACGATTCTGGTAGTCGTGTCATCCAAACAATAACATGTCATTGTCCTGTTTGAGAAAGACTTATTTCAATATCTCAAAGTTAAATTTTCGTTAAATCTCGGTAACCGCAGGCACATGTGAACAGCCCTTAAACCTAACAAAAAAATATGTATAACATATATGTTATTTACCGGCTGCGAGGTCCGGATAAAAAATATTTTCCCGAGGTTTCAAAAACGACGTTTTTTCAGACCGAGCAAACGGTAAATAACGTATTTATCATTTTACAAAAAGCTGCATTCGTTGTGTAGTCAGCTCAGCAATGCCAATGGCGACAAAAACATAAACAATCAAAACCTGAACTGGTTAATTTACTAAATTTCACTTCAATTTATCGTGATAATCATTTGGTCCATATATTATTATAAAATAAAAAAAGCCAAACGTTCGCGAATAAATCTTTAGAAAACAGGCACCGTAAAAATCCGCCCACTTCTACAGCCAATCAGATTGCAGGAAAGGCGTTCTTGCATATTGCATACTTAATAAAATACAAATGAGCATTGCGTTGGGCGTTTATAGGCCACAAGTTCACCACAACACCGCATTTAAGCTTGCCCATGCGTGGTTGTGGAAAGATGAATTATTTTTAAGTGAGTTTTTCAAACCCTATTCCCCGTTTTCTGTTTTAACAACCTCATGCATAATATAAGTAAACACAAGCGTTGTTTCGCACACTTTTTACCTGTACAATTTGTTGTTCCATTTCCTTGATATCCTGCTTTACATTCACAAATGTACGAACCATTAGTATTTGCACAGATTTCATTGAAGCCGCATGGGTCATTCAAACATTCATCTGTGTCTGGGCAAGAAAAAAATGAAAATAATTATTAGCCTTTTTACTTTAAAAAATCAGTTAAGTGCATGTTTATATAATATAACAAGACCCTTGCTGAGACTGGTAGGCGCAGCAAAAACAGTGCAGCTAAGCTTAAAGCTATAATGTAAAGCACTAAAATGTAAGTTCAAGAAAATATCCATGTTGATATAAAAAACAGGGCACAGCAACACTGGCAGATGTACCACTCGTACGTTATGGAACATTTTTAGCTATAGCCTCCTATAGCTATCCTATATCTCCTTTATCATGTTGGGTGATATTTTTCTAAAATCCTATTTTTATACTGACTATTTTTAGTTTTCACAATTTATGCATAATATAAGTATTTAAACACAAGTGTAAACACGTTTTACCTGTACAATTCGTTCCATTTTTTTCATATCCTGCTTGACATTCACAAATATATGAGCCATTAGTATTTTTACAGACTTCATTGTAACGGCATGGGTCATTTAAACATTCATTTATGTCTGCGGAAATAAAGAATAATATGAAAACATTTATTAGCCGTTTACTTAAAAAGTCCGCTCTGCGCATGCATGTATAAAATTTAGTTATAACATTTTTCTCCTTTGTAACTTGACAATAATATTCTTGTAAAATAACGTTCGTCTAATTTGCCTGATAATTAAACTGACGATTTCGCAAAATACAGGTTATTAAATTTAATTAAAGGCGTTGGAGTGTTAAGGATGGGGGGTTAGGATTTTATGGCTCTTCGGACTTCGGTTGAAATTTGATGGTTGAAATTTCATGGAAAAAATAAAGTCGACAAAAATTGTGTTGGGAATTGAAAAGTACTGATTTTCCCATGCGCTAAAAAGACCCCAAGGCGAAGAGGAAATACAAAACAAAACAAAATCCGAAGATTAATATATTGAAACCCAAAATATAGGTTAAAATAAGACAAAGAATTAATTCGTGATATTTCGATTTTATTACGAAAAAAAATCATCAGACTAACTGAAGTTACAATATACAGGGTGTATCAAAAAAAATGTCCCAAATGTAAAATTTCCGTTTTTCAGGATATTTTGCAGAATTTGGCAAATTTTTGTGTTCCTAGAGATAGATAAGACTTATCTGGTATACCTAAGCTAAGTTTGGTTTTTCATTAACAAAATTATGTTACCGGGGGGGTGGTTCCTTTCCACTGATATTGAGAGGGCTTGCGCGCGAAAATTTGAAGCTAAAATTGAGATATTATTTAGCTGTCTAAAAGTAGGAAAGCTTTTTAATAAACTGTCAAAGTTTCAGGAAAAATAATGCATACTGGGAGCAACGCGCGACCCCTAAATGTGACAAATATTTCATTGCGCGCAGTGGATTAAATGCATGGTTGATTTTAGCGTGACCGATCTCATGTAAAGGCGGATTTCCACTTACAGCGAAATCGTTCGCTAGCGAAATATTTGCATATTTTCTTTTGAATTGAGAACAGTCAAGTCGAACTAATTTATTTATGCTGTTAAAATTCAAAAGAAAATATGCAAATATTTCGCTGGCGAACGATTTCGCTGTAAGTGGAAATCCGCCTTAAGGCTGGGCAAATGAATAAATTAAAGCGAGAAACTAAACACAAAAACAAAGCGATTTATTCGTGATGTTAATCCTCAGCATTTCCACCATTTCATTCTAAGCAAACTGCTGCTTGTCTGAGCATACTAAACACTGAACAGCGAACCATTTGTCTGTCCATTCGCCTAGATTTGCCGGTGGTAGCGTAGGCGATTTGCAAGAAAGAATTTCGAACGAAATGGATAGTTTGAGGCAGGACAGACAAATGTGGTTCGCCGTTCAGTGTTTACCATGCTAAGACGAGCCGCAGTTTGCTTAGAATTTTAGAGTTTGCTTAGAATGGTGGAAATGTTGAGGATTAACATCAAGAATAAGAATCTTATTATTAAATCGCTTCGTCTTCTTGTTCAGTTTCTCGCTTTAATTTATTCATTTGCCCAGCTTTGCATGAGATCGGTCACGCTAAAATCAACCATGCATTTAATCCACTGCGCGCAATGAAATATTTGTCACTTTTAGGGGTCGCGCGTTGCTCCCAGTTTGCATTATTTTTCCTGAAACTTTGACAGTTTATTAAAAAGCTTTCTTTCTTTTAGACAGCTAAATAAGATCTCAATTTCAGCTTCCCATTTTCGCGCGCAAGCCCTCTCAATATCAGTGGAAAGAGACCACCCCCCCGGGAACATAATTTTGTTACTGAAAAACCAAACTTGGCCTAGGTATACCAGATAAGTCTTAACTATCTCTAGGAAAACAAAAATTTGCCAAATTCTACAAAATATCCTGAAAAACGGAAATTTTACATTTGGGACATTTTTTTTGATACACCCTGTATAAATAAGGTCGTATATACAATCGGTAATCTGTGACATAATATCAAATCTCAATCAAACGACCAAGGCAGTTTGGCAGTGAGAGGTGTGATGATATGGGTGTAGAATTACGAGAAAAGCTGGAGTTCTTTTCTTGCCTTGAGACCAGAATTTAGCTTAGGTAAACGATATTTGATATTGTGCTTCAAGCAATATGAGAAAATTACACGATATTCGTGAGTTAGTAGTGTGAAGTGTTCAGGAATTGTTAATAATTAGGTTTGAAATAAAAGTAGAGACGTCATTATTCGTCGGTGTTAGATTATTATAAAGATTGTCAATGGCAAGGTGTAGACTTACTATGTGTTGTAGATTTTCACAGTTATGAATATGTTACAGCAGAATTAGTGTGCTAAGAGAGTCGCGTCTTTAAGAAAGCAGAGTAGTTTATGACGTGACTTGTCTCGGGCGTTTAGGTATACTTATATAGGTAAGACTGATAGATGTTTATAATATAACACTTTAAAAAGATTTTGTACAAATATTATAATACGATTTCGGAAGCTGAATTACTTCCTTAAACACCCTGTATAAAACCGGAAGCTTATTTCATTTTTTTTGAAATGCTTCTATTTATACCAGCAGGAGTGGATTCAAGCAAACAAGTGTTATTTGAGTACTTGATTTGTGCTCGCAAATTAAAACTTTCCTTCTATTATTTAAGTATCATCAATCCAAGTTTCTTACCTTGGCAATACGTCTGATTTCGAGTGAATCCTGCCTCACATGAACATACAGCGGTGCCAGGGGAATTTGTACATATCAAGTCTGCAGGACAGGTGTTATTTAAAGCACAATGGTCTTCGTCTAAAAAGGTACCACACATTAAGAAAGAATGTAAAATGTAGCCACATTTATAATTTTGACTCTTATTGTACGTAATTAATAATATGAATATTAATTATTAATAATACGATTTATTAAAAAAGAAGAAAATAATTTCCTAAGCTAGCCAGTCCTAATCTTATATTATGGCATGACTCGAATGAGTCGCTGATATTTTTAATTTTCGGAAACAAATATAGTCAAAAAAGTGATAAAATTAAAAGAAAATGAAGTAAACATCATTCGTTTTCCCTCAGCATTTAACAGGCAGTTTATGGACTCTCAGAGTAAGTGAAACGCTTAAAAATTAAATATATTTTTACAAAATAATTCGCAAAATCACAGTTAAATTGCCCACGTTCTAACTGAAATACAAAATTTTTATCTTAGCCAAACAAAATTTTTATCTCAGTCGACCGTCCATGATATAGAACAAAACACCCGGGTGTAATAAATCTCCCAGCGGAATTAGTACTCTTGCACGGTGTTCCTCGCCGGCTCGGGGATGATAATTGTTTATAATTAAAATTTATATTATTTTGTACTCGCAGGTGCATTAACGCATTCTGGTTTGCTTCCACTACCATTTGCAATCGAGAAAAAACACACGGATTTCGCTTTTTGATCATTCCTCGGCCCCACAGTTAATTTATGTAAGTTTTCCACCAGTGATAATAGTCAAAACAACATGAAAATGGCGAATAAATGGCGTGACGCAGCAATATATGGACGCCATTCGTCATTCTCATGTAGCCTTTGACGTTCTCGTCACATTCCTTAGAACATACTCCATGCACTGTCTGTTTTTGTACGTAGACGTGCAGATACTCTCATATTCTAATGACATCTTATATAATCAATCTAATATCCCAGAGAAAAACACACACACACACAATATTAACCCTTAATCTAAACCTTCATAACCCTAGTTTAACTTTTATTTAACTTTTGTTTCACAGCTGTCGCCTGCAAAATGAGGAGATTTAGCACCAGGACGTGAATGTCAAAGAAGACGTGGAAATGGCGAATAACTGGCGTGATGTTGCCTATGAATTGTATGGACAAGCCACGCCATTTATTCCCCATTTTCACGTCGTCTATGACTTTCACGTTCTCATGCTAAATCTCCTAATAAAGACTGAGATTTCAGTTCGCAAGTGATTTTAAATCAGAACACATTAAAAGTTCCAATGATATGCAGTAATCGGTTGAATGAAAGTCAAAAGGCAATCAGGTTGGTGGACAATTTTCGTGATACGGGCATAATACATACAGGGAAGTAAAAATAATATAAAATAGTTTTTTCCATTGTTTATAATATTTAGGAATAATATTTTAATCGCTGTCCGAAGAAAAACTGAAAAAGTGAACGATCACTTACCAAATGCAATGAGTATTCGATCGGCATTAGTAGTTAGTGGAATCGTAGAAACTACAGAATCTGATGATTTGTCAAATTTTATAATTTGAGACCTTCTGTGAAGGAGATAATAATATTCATTTCCCTCCGCAATGTCTACACCAGCATATCCATCATTGAAACCTAGTGCAACAGTATGTGTAGTCAGACCATCGTACGTTGTTTTGAGTAAAAAGTATTGGACTGGATTTATAAACAAAATAAAGTACACAGCTTTATTCGCGGTATCCAGCATGAGATGAGTGACTTTTCCAGATAAACCTGCGTGAAGAGTTCGATTAGTTCCATCGTCAAGACTGTACCGGATAAGATTGTTCTTAGCGGTGAAGAATATAAATCTAGGTGTAAAAATATAATATATGTTAAGAAATTCCATATATATATATATATATATATATATATATATATATATATATATATATATATATATATATATATATATAGATATATATATTTGTTTATCAATGAATGTTCTCCGGATTTAAAATTTTTTTTATTGAGCTTTCGACTCGGTACTTCGAGTCTTCTTCAGAATATCTAAATTATTTACATGTGTATATAGCTTTATATATTTAAGTTTCGCGCTGTTCTTTAAGACTCTGTATACGTTGAGAGCGTCTGATTGGTTGACAAATAAACAATTATGCCTGGATTACAGATTTTTAAACATATATATATATATATATATATATATATATATATATATATATATATATATATACAGTCGTTATCAAAAAGGTTGTCATATTAAAATATATATTAATACGTAAATTTCAGTCACGTGATTTTACTGCATACGTTAATTTTATGGGAAATCCGTGAAAATCTTTATTAAAAATTTCATAAATATAATAGTGAGGTTAACAATATTGATAATAATAAAGAAACAAGACAAAAATGAGCGAAATAAACAATGTTTAATGCTCACGTGATTGATATTTATATATTTGTATACATATATATTGATAGGGACAACCTTTTTGATAACGACTGTATATATATATATATATATATATATATATATATATATATATATATATATATATATGTATATATATATATATATATATATATATATATACACACAAATTTAGACAAACGTTACTTTAACCGAACTTAATCCGAAAAATAACTGGAAAATATTGTTTAATGGGCCTTTTGCATAATAGACCATCTTTTGATTTAGGCAACAAAAAGGGAACCTCCTAAGAGTTGATTTCCAAGTTTGGCTGCGAATTGCGAAATATTGTAAAGTGCAGAAAATATAACCATGCGAAGTTGGTAATTTTGTATACTTAATTTTTTATACGGCCGAAAGCGTGTAACTAATGTAGTTACACGCTTTCGGACACAGTATAAAAGTATACAAAATTGCTAAAATCGCATGGCTATATTTTCCGTACTACTTAACATTTTGCAGCCAAACTTGGAATTTATACTAATTTCGGGATGCTAAATAATATAAGAATTTTCTTGGGGGATATTCTGTGAGTTGGAACATTTAGAGTATATACTAACTAACTAGAACATAAAAGTAAAGTGCCTTATACCAGCGGCGCAGCGCAAATTAACTTTTCTTTTCATAGGGGGACCGGTACCCTGGTGTTAAAAAGTGATTCGAAGCACGTTAAAGACGAAGTCATACTATTTGTTTTCTCATAGATATTTCTCTCTTCGGCTCCTAAAGGCTCCTAAACCCTTGGGACATTTTCCTCCACCAAAATAATGCTAAAATTGCGATGAGTGCACGATCGACTCTTTTGTATTAATGCAGTGTATTTACAAAATACGGGGGAAATTTAATCAGAGCGTCAGCGTCCGCTTCGCCCCTTCCAAATAGGCCATGGGGGCGAAGTGGAAATGCATCTTATCGAATAGTCATCCTACCTATTGTGAATGTCGACTTGCAAATCCGTGAAATTATTATTTGGTGACACACCAATATCTGGTAAACTGTTCCCATCATAATCAATCGACTTGAGGTGATGATCAGAATAGTTAAGATAGAAAATACGTCGATTCGCTGCATCAAGAGCAAATGGACCAAGACGTGATGGAACCGTATTAGTTATTAAATCACTTCCATCCAAATTCGCGTTACACACGCTATCACCACACGCAAACCAAAGGCGGTACCTAAGCTCGTCGTAAGCAAAGGCTGTGTGTTCTACACGCGCAAAGATCTTGGGGTCTCCGCCATCAACAGGAATATACGTAATATGAGTACCATTTGATAAGAAAATATATTCAACTTCTCCTCTTTTGTAAACTATAAAAAAATATCGCAGAATTTAAAAAAAACACGATAAATTAAGTTACTATAAACTGCCTAAAATTATGTAAGCAGTAACCTTGGCAGTCTGTTCCATTTCTCAAGTAGCCTTTTTTACATGTACATTTGAAAGAACCATCAGTGTTGTTGCAGTAGCCATTGTAATGGCAATTGTGAGTGCCTGTATTACATTCGTTGACATCTGAAAGAATTTTTTGGAATATATAGTACAAATTTGTATTGAATTCGTACAGTACGTGAGAAAGTATAAAAATTATTCTGTCTTTTATAACAGAACAATGCAAATATAACATATTACAGTACAATATCTGACCTTGACAATCTGTTCCGTTTCCTGAGTAGCCTTTTTTGCATGTACAATTAAAAAACCCATCAGTATTGTTACAGTAGCCATTGTGATGGCAATTGTGAGTCGTTGTATTACATTCGTTGACATCTGAAGTATTTAAAGAAAAGTTGAAAATTGTTTTCTAAATAAAAAAATATATATTTTTTCGAAAAAATTCAAATCTTGTTTTGTATCACTGTTTGCCTTTCTCGCGATGGTGAATACCTGTCATTTTTGAGGTGATCTCATGTTTTGAAAACGGATTTTGTAACAATATTATGAAAAGCATTTTTTAAGGGACAACGGAACATGTGCACAATCTATTTTACCTTAAAAATACTACCGGTACGAGGTTTACGGTCAAAATAGCGACATATTCGTTTTGCGAGAAAGGCAAATGGTCACGCCATCAGTATTGTTACAGAAGGCATTGTAAATGAGATTGCGAATATCTGTATTACATTTGTATAAATCTATAAGAAGGTACAGACAATGCTTTTTAGGCCTAGGTTAAATGTCGCATTTTGGTCTCAACGAATGCAATTCAAAAATAGATTAAATAATAATGAAGCTTAATGAGGCTGATCCAGACTGATGCGCCTTGTGCGATTGCATTTCACAAACACAAAAAATTAAATACGAAATTGGCGTATACCAGTTCGCTAAATTCGACCATGGTCGAGTATACCATATCTAGCTCATACTTCGGTCATACCATTCGACCATGGTCGAGTATATACCATACCGCTTTTCGGTATATTCGACCATGGTTGAGTATACCCTATTCCGGAATATTCGACCATGGTCGAGTATACCATACCGTATATTCGATCACGGTCGAGAATACCGTTTTTCGGTATATATGCTTGTGATCACCTCGCCTTCTGTGACTAATTGTTAAATGTAGACCCCATAGAGATGTTGAAGTATGGTTCAAAAGATCCCATCAGTCAGCCAAAATTCCAGATCCGCCCTTGTTGTGAGGTTTATCGTCTCATATTAATCTATTGTTTGAATTGCATTTAACGCGACCAAAACGCGACGTATAACCCAGGCCTAAAGTCGTTTGACGCTTGAAGCCGTGTCAAGCAGTGGTGTATAGCCAACCAACCAGACGATTTAGTCTCGCGTGCTGTGAAAACTTTCACAAGCAATGAATTCGAACGCCAAAATATTACTGAGCATACCAGAATATAATTGTCGGGCTGGCTCATTGAACTGTAAACAAACTGGAACTATAACGCTTTTTTATTTATATTTTCTTTGTTGTCTTGAAATTCTTGAAAGTTTTGAAATTTCCACACCAAATATAACTTTTCAATAGCTTTAATTTGACACACAGCCCAACATCTGGCGTCAAGTATTTCAGCTCGTAACTGATAACTCAGAAAAACTATTTTGGCTTTAAGCTTATAATTAAAAGAATGTTTGTCATAAGTTAGCGTCCCAGTTACCTAGAATTCAATGGCTGGCTACGCTGCTAGGAACATGCAATATCTACATACGCTAACCTTGGCAGTCTGTTCCATTCCCGAAGTAGCCGTCTTTGCACGTACAATTAAAAGAACCGTCAGTATTGTTACAAAAGGCATTATAATGGCAATTATGTGAATCTGCGCTACATTCGTTGACATCTGAAATAATTAATTAAGAAAGAAGTGTTAAAATTTTCATTATAGAATTCACATTCCTTCGCAATTTGAATTTTGCGCAATATTACAAGATTCATTTTTATGCTTGCAGGTCAAATTGAAATTACATCGAAATATTTTTGGTCGTCCAAATCTGACGGGATGAAATAGTGATTTTAAATATATTTCAATGCTTTCCATTCTTCTTTGAAATCCAGAAATATTTAACTTATGTTGCCCTACCAGTGCAGTTAATTCCATCTCCACTATATCCGTATTTACATGAGCAGATGAATGATCCGTCTGTGTAGTTGCACGCCGCATTAGGATGGCATGGTGAATTTTTTTGGCATTCATTGGCCTCTAAATTTGTCGTATAATGAATGTTTCACTATTATTTTTTTATCTATTTATGTCATTTATGTGTTTACAATAGATTGGGCGAATACGGTTCAGAACTTCCTGTAATAATGGGATATTAGTATTAGACAATTATGTATAACCAGGTCATATATCACTACAGTTTCTCTGCATGCACATCGCAATTTAAATATCCTCTCCGAAATTCATCATACGTTCCATTTTGAAAAGTATCCAGATATCTTCCTAGTATAAAGCATGCTTTGTATCGCCTTTGATAATATGATTACCTTCACAATGTGTGTTATTCCCAACAAATCCTGGTTTGCATGTGCAGAAATAACTTCCCGGTGTGTTTGTACACGTTGCGTTATCATGACAATATCCACCAACACAACATTCATCTATATCTGCACGAATATGAAGTCACATTAATTTTTAACATATTAGATACATAATCTCGTACAATATGGAATTCTTGAAAGTATTTTTCGCGTGTAGTAAAAAACCATTGTTACCATGCATTATAAAGTTTACCACAAATACCTGGGCATGCAAGTACATACCATCATCTACATCAGGGAGCGCGGAAGTGCGGGAATTAAAATACTGTATTCACGTTCAGCATTATTACGTTTAAAATTGATTGCTTTTACGGTCTTCAAACAAGAATATGCAAATATCCCCGCCCCGTGCAAACTTTTTCCGGGACCCCTGATTTACATGCCTAAATATCATTCCAAATCTGAAGTCACATTAAATACTTGCCGACGAGCAAATGTCTGTTAGATCTGCAGATTGATAATTATGGGAAAACTTCAAACGTTAGCAGCACGAACTTACCTTCAACGACAGTTAGCTCTTGCGGTGAATCACTGAGGAAAAATGAATCTTGAAAAATAGCAGTGGGCCTGTCAAACACATCTATACGTTTCCTTGTGCTATCCATTACATAGAAATTATCTTTCCCTATTGCAACGTTTACTGAACTTGTTGTACCAGGGTAGAACTTGACTTCTGAAGTTGAGCCATTAAAGTATGTTTTCATGAGAGAATAGCTATCACTAACGCTGATATAATTGATCCAATATATAACTTCATTCTGAGAGTCAACAGTCAGATATTTGGGTGATGTATTGTTGTGGTAAATGACTTTCTGCGTATCGTTTTCAAGGAAATAGCGAACAATATCCCCACTGGTGGCGCCAGAAAATACAAGGGAACTGAAATAAATAATTTTTCTATGGTTACTACATAGTGAATTGTCAGAATAGGCGGTCATTTGACTTATTTGCCTTGTTTAAAGTCAAACAGAGTATAAGTTATTAACAATAATTGCTTATCTCCACGGGTCGTCTCGAAGTACTAAATGAGGGTACTAATTCCACACCAGATTTGTTACGTCCAGGTATTGTTTACCATCTGCTAACAATCTTATTGTTGGGGCAACAATAGGCGCATTGAAAATGGGCACATGGGAAATCACCTTACAATTTAAAGTCAATTTTTTTTATACTCTCTAAGATTTTCTGTTGTTTCCACTTAGAGATAAGATATATGTACCTGTTAGTTGAATCACTGTCCAAGTCACCGGCATTGACAATGTCGGTGGGATTTAGATCAGTTAAATTTCCAGTATCCAAGTCAACCATTCTCACTTTCCTGAAAAGATTAGTAATGAAGTAAACCTTTCTCTTTATATGATCCACAGTAAACCGGTCCAGAGTCGTCAAAGATTCTCTGATTGTGATCGGATCACTCCCATCCAGTTTAACTGTGATGAGTTTGCTACCATCGTAGTAGATGAGCCTTTTGGTGCCAGAATCATAATTTAGTTTCACGTTGGTTGCGGATAATATGGTCACAGTCGTGCTACCGTCGGAGAACACGCCTTTGATAGCACTGGTTGTTGCATAGTATAAGGCATCCACTGTGCAAACCAGAACTATATAGCGATAGAAATAAACAACATGAGTTAAATTGATGGTATACTACATGCTGTTTGCCTAAACATGTGGCAATATCTCAGGACAGGCCGTATTTTCAACGTGTAAGACATAATATAATGTAAGACGTATAGTCAAGTTTTATGTGCACTGGAACGACAACTCAACCGTCATTTTAAAGCCAATTGAAAGCAACTTGAAAATCTAGTGCCAAGTTTTTTATTGTTTACGTCAGCGCTGTTGATGATCGGTTATGGTTCCAGTCTAAATTGAACAGAGCTCACTTTATCCGAGTATATACAACCTTCACAAAAGAAGCCATCTCCACTGTAGTTTGTTTTGCAAGTGCAGTAGTATGATCCTTCCACGTTTGTGCAAGTTGCATTTGCATGACACGGAGCATCCCGTTCACATTCGTTGATATCTATAATATAGGCACAAGTTCACACATTTAAAATACGTACTCTATTTTGATTAAACATTAATTATAATTCTTCCCGTCTTATAGTGAGCATTATAGATGCAACAGTCATATTAAATTTTAATGGCTAATTTGAAGAAGTTAAATTCCAATAATTCCAATAAACCTTTCTGGTGACGACGCAGAAAATATTATTTTGGACATGTTTTATTGGCTCGTTACAGTTTTAAGGAACCAATCAAACTCCGTGTAACAATAATACCTCAGTCAAAACGAATAATTAGCTAAATATCGAATTTTCATACCCTTAGGTTGAAACGTCAAACCTTTTTTAATCTATTTTAGGTAGTTTTTGTACATCGGACTTAGAGTTGCTTTTGTTATGATGGGATAAAAACTTAAATGACATACCTGTACAGAAACTACCATTGCTTTCGAAGCCCACATGACAAGTGCATGTAAACGAACCATCACTATTTGTGCAGTTTGAGTTGGTGCCACAGGGATCAGTTTGGCACTCATTGATATCTAGAAATAAAAATCATACTATTTCCACAATGCGACAGAAGCTCCATAAGAAAAGGTAAAACTTTCAAACAAAGGATCCATATGTGTTTTTGAAAGTGGCATTGGAATACCATGAGAAATTTGTGTGGCATTCATTGATATCTAATGCAATTCGTTGTATCCAGATTCTGTTGCTTTATATTTTAAATGATTAATAATTAATTTTGTGTATTCCTACCAGTACATCTCAACCCATCTCCACTATATCCAGAATCACATGTGCAGATATAAGATCCATCTGTGTTATTGCACGTAGCATTGGTATGACATGGGGGAGACGTTTGGCATTCGTCAACATCTGAAATGGCATTTTTAGCATTTTTATTTTTCCATTTCCTCCTTTTTACTCAACACTTGAGAGAAATATTATTCGCGTTGTCTTACCCGTGCAGTTGAATCCATCTCCAGTATATCCAGTATCACATGTGCAAATATAAGATCCATCTGTGTTATTGCACGTAGCATTGGAATGACATGGGGGAGATGTCACGCATTCGTCAACATCTGAAATGGCAGTTGTAGCATTTTTATTTTTCCATTCCGTCTTTTTTACTCAACACTTGGCAGAAATATTATTTGCGTTGTCTTACCCGTGCAGTTGAATCCATTTCCAGTATATCCAGAATTACATGTGCAAATATAAGATCCATCTGTGTTATTGCACGTAGCATTGGAATGACATGGGGAAGATGTTACGCATTCGTTAACATCTACAATGACAGTTGTAGCATTTTTATTTTTTCATCTACAATTTTTTTGAATATTTGCTAAAAAAATTATTTCCGATATGTCTTACCTGTGCAATTAAATCCATCTCCAGTATATCCAGAATGACATGTGCACATATAAGATCCATCTGTGTTATTGCACGTAGCATTGGAATGACATGGAGGAGATGTTAGGCATTCGTCAACATCTGAAATAGCATTCGTAGCTTTTTTATTTTTCTATTTCCTCTTTTGTACCTCAACACTTGGTAAAAAATTTATTTTCGTTGTCTTACCTGTGCAGTTGAATCCATCTCCAGTATATCCAGAATTACACGTGCAAATATAAGATCCCTGTGTGTTATTGCACGTAGCATTGGAATGGCATGGGAAGGCAGTTTGGCATTCGTTCTTGTCTGAAATGAAGGTTTGCAGTTGCTCTATTAATTTATCAACCGTCTCGCTTATGTACACTAATAGTTATATTTGTAACCTTACCAGTGCAGTTTAGTCCATCTCCGTTATAGCCTGTATCACATTCGCAGTTGAAAGATCCAACTGTGTTATTGCACGTAGCATTTAGATGACACGGGGAAGAAACTTGGCATTCGTTTACATCTGAAATGAAAGTTTGTAAATACTTTATTGCCTTTTTTCTGGTTCATCTTTTGTTGAAATTCATTCATGTATTCCTACCAGGACACCTGAATCCATCTCCACTATATCCTGAATTACATGTGCAGATGTAGGATCCATCTGTGTTATCGCAAGTTGCATTGGAATGGCATGGGGGAGATGTTAGGCATTCGTTTATATCTGAAAAGAGGTTTCAAAATGTTTCCATTTATCATTCCACTCAATTCCTGCCTATTTAAACTAATAAACTAATATCCTTACCGGTGCAGTTGAATCCATTTCCGCTATGGCCAGTGTCACATTTACAAATGTATGATCCATCTGTATTATTGCAAGTTGCATTGGGATGACAAGAGAAATTGTTGTGGCACTCGTTTACATCTATATAGAAGTTTAAAAATTTCTTGTGTGAAAATTGTTTAATAATTCCCACAGGTACACTTATGCCCATTTCTGCTATATTCAGTATAACATGTCCAGATAAAGGGTTTTTATATGTTACTGCGTGCTTTTCATTACAATGACATGGGAAACTTATATGCCATCTGATGGTTAAAATCTAAAATGAACCTCACCATTGCAGTTGAAGCCATTTCCACTATAACCGGGAAAACATTCACAGAAGTAAGATCCATCTGTGTTGTTGCACGTTGCATTGGAATGACATGGGAAATTTGTCTGGCACTCATTGATGTCTGGAAAGTTAAATTTTTTAATCCAGGTTTTTCTATTTGCATAAAAGCTCAACAAAAATTTATGTATTCTTACCTGTGCAGTTAAATCCATCTCCGCTATATCCAAAATCACATGTGCAGATATAAGACCCATCTGTGTTATTGCACGTAGCATTGGAATGACATAGGAAGTTTGTTTGGCATTCGTTTATGTCTGAAATGAAGGTTTGCAGTTTTCTATTTATCAATCTAAATCAATAGCTATTTTTGTAACCTTACCAGTGCAGTTTAACCCATCTCCACTATAGCCAGGATCACATTTGCAAAGATAAGATCCATCTGTGTTATTGCACGTAGCATTGGAATGACATGGGGGAGATGTTATGCATTCGTCAACATCTGAAATAAAAGTTTGTAAATACTTTGTTTAGCGTTTATTTCTTGTTTATCTTTTGTTGAATATCATCCATGTATCCTACCAGTACAATTAAATCCATCGCCACTATAACCAGAATCACATGTGCAAATGTAAGAGCCATCTGTGTTATTGCACGTAGCATTGTAATGACAAAGGAGATATGTTTGGCATTCATTTATATCTGAAATTAAAGTTTGTATCTAGTTTATCTAGCAATAGTCTATGCTTTATGATATGTTGAATATCATTAATGTTTTCATGTATCTTACCAGTACAATTAAACCCATCGCCATTATAACCAGAATCACATGTGCAAATGTAAGAACCATCTGTGTTATTGCAAGTCGCATTGGAATGACATGGGAAATCTGTTTGGCATTCATTTATATCTAAAAAGTTTTGCAATATTTTCATTTATCACATAATTCCATTCTTGCGTATCTAAGGCCAAATATGTTACCATACCATTGCACTTAAATCCATCTCCACGATATCCAGAATCACATGTGCAGATGTAGGAACCACCTGTGTTATTGCACGTAGCATTGGAATGACATGGAGAAGATGTTACGCATTCGTTGATATCTAGAAATTGGGAATTTTTTATTGACGCATATTTGCTTATTTAATATGAGTCACCATTTTCGTTGTCTTACCTGTGCAGTTAAATCCATCTCCAGTATATCCAGAATCACAGGTGCAGATATAAGATCCATCTGTGTTATTACACGTAGCATTGGAATGACATGGGGGAGATATTACGCATTCGTTTGTATCTAAAAAGAAGGTTTTAGTTTTCATTTCTCCTTTTCTGTTGCCTATATTTAAAATTATTTGTAACCTTACCTGTGCAGTAAAATCCACCTCCAGTATATCCAGAATCACATGTGCAAATATAAGATCCATCTGTGTTATTGCACGTAGCATTGGAATGACATGGGGGAGATACTACGCATTCGTCAACATCTGAAATGTTTTTTTTATCATTTTTATTTTTCCTTTTTTCTTTTTTACTCAACACTTGGCAGAAGTATTATTTCCATTTCTTACCCGTGCAGTTGAATCCATCTCCAGTATATCCAGAATCACACGTACAAAATAGATCCATCTGTGTTATTGCACGTAGCTTTGGAATGACATGGGGAGATGTTATGATTCGTCAACATCTGAAATGGCATATTTTAGCGTTAACATTTTTCTATTTATTGTTTTTACCGAAATATATTGGTAAAACTTTATTTTCTGTTGTCTTACCTGTGCAGTTAAATCCATCTCCAGTATACCCAGAATTACATGTGCAGATATAAGATCCATCTGTGTTATTGCACGTAGCATTGGAATGACATGGCGGAGATACTACGCATTCGTCAACATCTGAAATGGCAGTTGTAGCATTTTCCTTTTTCCATTTACTGTTTTTTAATCAAACATTAGGTAAAAATTTTATTTTCGTTGTACCTGTGCAATTAAATCCATCTCCAGTATATCCAGAATCACACGTGCAAATATAAGATCCATCTGTGTTATTGCACGTAGCATTGGAATGACATGGGGGAGATACTATGCATTCGTCAACATCTGAAATGGCAGTTGCAGCATTTTCATTTTTCTATTTACTGTTTTTTACTCAATCATATGTTAAAAAATATTTCCAATGTAGAAAACCTGTGCAATTAAATCCATCTCCAGTATATCCAGCATCACATGTGCAAATATAAGATCCATCTGTATTATTGCACGTAGCATTGGAATGACACGGGGAGGATGTTACACATTCGTCAACATCTGAAATGTTTTTTTTTATCAGTTTAATTTTTCCATTTCCTCTTTTTTACTCAACACTTGGCAGAAATATTATTTCCGTTTTCTTACCCGTGCAGTTGAATCCATCTCCAGTATATCCAGAATTACACGTGCAAATATAAGATCCATCTGTGTTATTGCACGTAGCATTGGAATGACATGGGGGAGATACTACGCATTCTTCAACATCTGAAATGGCAGTTGTACCGTTTTCATTTTTCTATTTACAATTTTTTACTGAAACATTTGGTAAAAACTTTATTTTTGTTGTCTTACCTGTGCAGTTAAATCCATCTCCAGTGTATCCAGTATTACATGTGCAGAAATAAGATCCATCTGTGTTATTGCACGTAGCATTGGAATGACATGGGGGAGATACTACGCATTCGTCAACATCTGAAATGGCAGTTGTAGCATTTTCCTTTTTCCATTTACTGTTTTTTAATGAAATATTAGGTAAAAATTTTATTTTCATTGTCTTACCTGTGCAATTAAATCCATCTCCAGTATATCCAGAATTACATGTGCAAATATAAGATCCATCTGTGTTATTGCACGTAGCATTGGAATGACATGGGGGAGATACTACGCATTCATCAACATCTGAAAAGAGGACTTTTTATCGAAGCTTTCTTGCTTGTTTAAAAATAAAAATATATTCATGTATTCCTACCAGTGCAATTAAACCCGTCTCCTGTATATCCAGAATCACATGTGCAGGTGAAAGATCCCTCTGTGTTGTTGCACGTAGCATTGGAATGACATGGGGGAGATGTTACGCATTCGTTGATATCTAAAACGAAGGAATGCAATTTCGTCACTAATTGTTCCCTATCCTTTCTTGCTCTTATGAAAACTTATCTCATTCTCCTAATCCGACTGGTGAAATTAAATCCATCTCCAGTATACTCAGATATGGGATGATGTGGAATCCATCAATCCAAGGTTTGCAATCTTCCATTTATAAAACCATTCCTGCCAATTGAAAACTACTCCTAAGTTTCACAACGTTACCGGTACAGTTGAATCCATTTCCGCTATAGCCGAGATCACATGTGCAGATATAAGATCCATCTGTGTTATTGCACGTAGCATTGGAGTGACATGGCAAGTCGATTTCACATTCGTCGATATCTAAATTGGTTTTTTATTTGAGTTCAATTTTTCCTTTTTTGTTGAGGTCTAATTGGAGAGTAGTAAATGTGTACTACAATTCAAAATTTCTTTCACGATCTCTTGTGTGATATTTTTACATTTTAAATTTCTATTCCTTGACATTGATATCCAAATTTACCCTCAGTGATTTTCACCTGTGGAAGACTTTTCAGTTTCCTGTTTTATTTTTTGGGACTGGGGGAAACAATGTTGTGTCAGTCAACAATAATTTTCTTGTGTATGTTGCTTTTTACCACAAAAAATGTGACTACACGACCACGTTGTCGAATCTCACTTCTTTTAGGCATTTCTAATTAAACGTGACGCTCCCTAGCTTATGATCGTTATTTCATTAGACAAGCTGTAACTCATTCAAACTTATTCAATTTGCGAAAGAAACTGAAGAAATAAATGATATGAAGCAGTTTGATATAATAATCTACTTTTAGTCTTAAATAAAAACCTTCACAACTTGTTCCATTCCCAGTATAGCCTTCCTTGCATGTGCAGAAATGACTTCCCAGCGTGTTTGTGCAGGTTGCGTTGTCATGACAAAATCCTCCGACACAACATTCATCTACGTCTGTAAAAATAATTGACAAATGTTTAATAAATCACCAACTATTACTGTTCGAACAGAGGAATCAGGCTTTCCTTACGTTGTGGCATACTATACCGTCCTACCATAGACACTACGCGCTACACCCAATGTATTTGCACGACAAGACTAAAATGGCTACCTAGCTTGCCAATTTCATCCGCGCTTGGTCTTCGTTTTGGTAGACTGAAAAATTATCTATTAAGTGTAGCATGGCGGGACTATTTTACCCGCCTCTTCGCTTTTATAAAATATATGTTTTCTTGTAAACCGTCTTAAGGTTTCATTATACCGAAATTGTCACGATAACAAGGATCGTGAGCGGGTTATGCACTATTGCTGTTCGTGAGCGAAACTTACATGCATGCAACGCCAATCGATGTCTAATTGAAGTCATTCTACGCCGTACTTTTGACCGGAACTTGATTTACAGAGACAAAAACGACTCTGTAACTTGGGTAATTGCGTTCAGATACTCGTAGACACGACTGCTAAAGAACAGGGCACTTTATCGGCTTTCCTACATTCGTCATAATGTTATGTGTTTTGCCCCAAAGATAAATGAAATTCGCCATTTTGAAGTGATGGCGAGATGGACCTGATTTGCATACTCTATTTACAAAAACAATGCCTAAAATAAGAGTTACAATGATATTATCGCGTATCGAAGGCTATAATTTATTCTCCTGCAGCGAGAAAATGTTAGAATTGAACATGTTGGTATTTGTACGTAGGATGAAAGTAACATAAAAGTCGTCGTCTTAGACCTGCACGATCAAAATCACAAAGTTCTGTGGATAAAGTTACGGCCCACGCGACTCCCAAGGGGATATATTTCCGTTGTTGTCTATTGAAATGTTTACCATCCACCAAGTGTTAAAAATCAGTTTCTGCAATACCTTCACTTATGCCCTTGGTAATTGAATCGTGCTTTATTAATTGTTAAATTGTGCCAGTGACTTTAGCCAGTTAATAATACAGAGAAATAACTTCTCTCTCGAGCAAATTCTGAAATTTCCAACTCATGGCCTGAAACCTCAGGCTGACAAACCTGAACACATTTATCAATTTTTGATACAAAGTACCTATTCAATTAACGGCCTCCCCTTAGCTTATCAGATCACATGCCTGTGAATCTGCTGAAAGAACTCAGGCAAAAGTGAGATTTGAATTTCTTACTACAAGAAAGCTTTTGATTTTATGGAACAAAATCCTTGCTATTTTGACACAAATGATAGCGATATTATCTTTATTGAACGACGTTTCGATGCTAAAACGTGCATCATTTTCAAGTTATGATAATTACATTTAAATTGCGTTGATTTTAAATTGTATTCAAAGAGATTTTTGATAAAAAATCCTTGCTGTAAACTAAAAGCTCTCGAGCTTGCCTTATCCTGCGCTGGATAATAGATTTTGAACAGGATACCTATTGTAATTGCGATTGGCGTGACATCCTAGCGTAGTTCCATGCATGGTAATGCTCTTCCATGGCCATCCATCGTAATGATCAACCATGCATGTTGATTTAACGAAAGCCGAATATAGAAATACATGAATGCCACCACAACTTCAGAGTACGCTTTCAAGAGTCTGAAGCGAGCATGTAATCCAAGTTTTTCAGTTGAATGAGTTGCACTGAATAAAGGGCTGTTGTGACGTACGCTCTTCAAAGAGGCAAAGTGTTTCTACCAATTGATAAGTTAAAGTGGCTGTTATTTTCTACTTGAACAAAAAAACTTACCATATGAAATTATTAAGTCGTGTATTTTCGCACTGTGTGTGATATTCCCTTCTTTCTGGAGCGATGCTTTCAAATATTTGTCGATACGGTTATTGTCTTTGTCCAAGACATACAAATTGTGTACGTCGGAGGTCAAGTCAATTTCTCCTGAGTATGTGATGTTTAAGCCAGTTGTTTGTTTATTATTAAGCAGAGTTTTCATGACATGGTGATCTATTCCATCGAAGTTTGCCCAATAAACCACGTTATTGAATTCATCAACGGAAAGTGACTGTGCTGCGCCATCGTAATTGAACTCTATTACAGACCCATCTGCTGGATTATAACGCACGATTGGTGGAACTGTTGCTCTTGCTAGGAAGAGATGCCTGTGAAGAAATTAAGTTTAATATTACATAACACTTTTTTGTACCTACACTAAACTACACGCCTATACACTTTTCTTTATCCAGACTGAGCAAACCCACTAATTATTATAACGCGCCTATTTTTTCTATAAAAATCCGGAAAGTACAAGGATTAAAAGCTTTGCATTTCGAACTGCGTTTACCTATATAGCTACTTTGGTATTGAAAATAAAACTGTGTTTCCTGCATAGTATATTTTTATTTGAAATATTTGATTTCCCTTTAATCGTATCCAAATTTTAATTTTTAATTTTTGCGACTAAATCCTCTTTATGCGCCAGCGTCGCGTGTCGGCTGGCACCAAGGTTGCAACTTGTAAGGGAGGAGGAAAATAGTTGTTAAAAGTTCCTTCTCGTCTCGACTCAGGCGCCTTTGGATTTTTCGACCTGTATTTGGTCGAG